TGGGTGGGGCCTGACTAGTAACCAAAGCCAAATCCGGCGAAACAACTGGCCGCTGTGATACAATTGTATAATAATAATAAATCCTCCGATGTTACCTTAACAGTTCCTAGGTTCTTGGTTAGGAGCAGCTAACCAGCCCCAAAGGCTGTGAATCTCACCGAAGATTAACCAATAATAAATCAACGTCCTTTAGCCACTTTCAAAGTGCCACCTTACCTGAATGGCCATCTCTGAAAACTTCTCTCCTGCCTCTTCAAGAATATCCCCCAGCCGAAAAATGGGGCAAAGTGGAGCTCTGTGCTTGTGGTATGTACAGGAAATATTAAATTCCGGGGGAATATTTTTTCTGCAGGGAACCATTAGAACAATCAATCAGTGGGAGGACTTGCCTTCAGAAATTGTGGCTTCTGGATGTTCGTAAGACAAAGTTGGACAGTCCTTTGTCCAAAATGGTAGAGGTTCTTCTGCTTGAGAAGTGGGCTGGACTAGAAGACCTCCAAGGTCCCTTCCAACTCTGCCGTTCTGTTGCATTATTCAGAAAGGGAGCAGTTTGATCAGTGAAAGCCACACAAATCTATATTTTATAAAGCGCAGGAACCTCGGAAGACCAAGCATAGATGCTCTTCCAGGAATTTAATGGTTTGACGTTGATTTGCATTTTGTTGCATGTCTCCCCTTGGAAACCCAGATTTTAGAAGCTGCACCACATCTCAGCAAATGATCCCAATCAGGGATCGATTTCCCAGAAAGGGAACAGGAGGGATCCTCTTTTTAAATACAGCCATCCTAAGCCCAGAGAACCACTTACTTTGTATAGTCAAATTTTGGAAAGTGGATGTTGTTTTTGATAAGCACGGTGAAATTCTCAGCGCTGTCGAGAATGGCTGGCCTGGAAGGATGAAAAGATCCAAGTCACTTATTCAATATTCATGATGACCCCTAGGCAATTTAATCATCTTAGTGGGGGAGTCTCTTCAAAAGGCTGGGCATTGGGTGTCTACCTTATGGACTTCAACTCCCAGAATTCTAAGACTTATTGACTTCAACTCCCAGAATCCTAAGACTTATGGACTTCAACTCCCGGAATCCTAAGACTTGTGGACTTCAACTCCCAGAATCCTAAGACTTATGGACTTCAACTCCCGGAATCCTAAGACTTATGGACTTCAACTCCCAGAATCCTAAGACTTGTGGACTTCAACTCCCAGAATTCTAAGACTTATTGACTTCAACTCCCAGAATTCTAAGACTTGTGGATTTCAACTCCCAGAATTCTAAGACTTGTGGATTTCAACTCCCAGAATTCTAAGACTTATGGACTTCAACTCCCAGAATCCTAAGACTTATTGACTTCAACTCCCAGAATCCTAAGACTTATTGACTTCAACTCCCAGAATCCTAAGACTTATGGACTTCAACTCCCGGAATCCTAAGACTTATGGACTTCAACTCCCAGAATCCTAAGACTAACGGACTAAAACAGGAGGGAGGAGCAGCTAAGAAATGCACCTACGCTGGGGCGGTTTTGGCCGACTCCACGGGACACCAAGCTGAGACTTCGCACGTGTTGACGG